GTGTGTGTGTGTGTGTGTGTGTGTGTGTGTGTGTGTGTAAAACTCTTATAACTTTTGAACGGCTTGGCCGATCGGATCGAAATCGGTGGCGATCCAAAGAGTATCATAGCCATTAAATTTCGTAAAAATTAGAATTGATTTGGTTCGCTAGATTTTTAGAAATCTCAAAAACAAAATTTTCGAAAAATCGTTTTTTTGGAATAACTTTTAAACAGCTTTACCGATCGATTCCAAAAACTAATCAGCTCTTAACCTTGAAAAACCACGTCGATCACCGTTGGACCGGTCAAAATCGGTTGATTCGTTCGTGAGATATCGAAAACGAAAAATTTCAAAAAAAATATTTTTTCGAAAAAGCTTTTAAACGGCTTCACCGATCAATTCCAAAAACTAATCAGCTCTTGAGCTTGAAAAACCACGTCGATTGCCACCAGTCCTATCAAAATCGGTTGATTCGTTCGAGAGTTATCGAAAACGAAAAATTTCCAAAAAAGTGTTTTTCACATAACTTGGAGATTTCTTTTCGAATCGTTTTTGACGACATGAAATAATTATTCGAGCTCAAAAAATTACGTCGATCACCAGCAAGAACGTAGAAATTGGTTGATTGGTTCGTGAGTTATCGTTGTCGAAAAAATTCGGAAAAAGTGAATTTTTCGAAATTCTCTAAGATTTTCAGTTCGATCAGTTTGTGGTCAAAAGTATATCATAGATTCTAAAAAACTGCATGAATTTCTGCCGACCGCATGAAAATCGATTCATTCATTTAGAAATTCTATCAGACTTTTGAGCTCGAAGAGCTCAAAAGCATACAAAAGCTATTTCTTTGAGCTCGGAGAGCTCAAAATAACACAATAATAGTATTTTTGAGCTCGAAGAGCTCAGAAACGTCATAAGTGCAATTTCAAGCGTTTAGGTATCGAATTGGCGGGAAGTTGCAGGGATGGCCTTTAGGGTCAACCGTTTTCCAGATTTTTTTTCTTCATTTCTGATTGTCCAGATTTGAATAAAAAAATTTTTAATTTTTATTTTAAAGATTTTTTTAGCCGGGTTAAAACAAAAAAAAAAAGCAGTAAGAATAGTGAGAAAATTTTCAATCAGTCGCCATTTTTTTTTAAATTAAAATTTTCAAAATTCCGTACGTGTGACGATAACTACATCCTTACTGATTAAAAAGCAATTTGGGTTTTTATTTTCAAATGATCCGTTTTTGAGTTATCGAACCGACTATGGAGGGGGAAATTTTTTCTAGTGCTCTACGACATTGTTAATAACTTTGTAATAATTCAACATTTTTTAATAAAAATTTAGGGTAATAATCTTTAATGTACCCTTAATAAAATAAAAAAATCCGATCCCCAAATTCCTGTATTTTCCTTGTCAAAAAACTTTCCGAAAATCACATCTTTTTTTCGATCATCGCATTGGTGTTCTCCCTTAAAAAAAAAATTTCATTTTATATTAAAGATAATTTTAAGAAATACTGTTTTATTTTTTTTTTTTCTTGTAAAGTATGTTCGTAAATAAAGATTTTTTAAACTGATGACGTTTCATTTTGTCAATTTTGCCAAACTCTCTAAACATGAATAAGTGAATATTCACTTATTTAAGTGAGAACCGAGCCACTGACTTGAAAAAGTGGCTCGATTGGCATTTAAGTTAAGTGAATATTCACTTATTTGACGAATTTTCACTAATTCAGTTTTAGGGAGAAAATAATGAGTAATTAGAACTGAAATATTATTATCAAAGAACTGTTTGGTAGAACCTCAAATTTGTATCTTTTACCATTCCGAAATAATGAAGAAAATGATCCTATTTCCATTAATAAAAAAATTAATTTTTTCTCAGTGTAAAATAATTCTCGAAGCAAGTTAAAAAAGAATAATAATAATAAAAAGTACTGGATTATGTTTTATTGAATTACCAAAATTAGCTTTACCAGAATTAAAAAATATCATACATTTTGATTCTAATAAATAAATTTTCTTTAGTGAATATCTATAAGCCATTATTCCAGAAGATATTTAGAGGAATAAAAAAAATGTATTTAAAAACTTTGTTCGGTTTTTTTGCTATTTATTTTAGTGGAGATATTTTAATTTTAAATTAACTAAAATAAACTGTATTATGTGATTAAATCGTGATAGTATGCTAATACATAAAAGTTTTTAACAAATTATGGGAGTTATTGACCGTCATGGTTCGAATAATAATTATTTTATGCTACGTTTCAATAACCGTAGCAATTATAAATGCGAGTTCGTTCAAACATTTGATTTACACACGCTCGTAAAATATTCTTTTTACTTAATTTTCCTATGCAACTGTACATTATATGGGTATAGAAGATGCTACAATGAATTTACATAATAAATTTATTCTTTTGTAAAAATATATCAAAATCAGGCATTTATAAGGGCTTTTAAGCGATAACCACGAACACAAAAAAAACCATTCGAGACCCTGTGGCTGATATGGTAGATTTCAATGCTATATTATAATGAGAAATATTTCACATTATAAACGCTCCTCGAAATCTCTGAGAAACTAGTCAAAATAATACCAAAATGAAAACTGAAAAAATATAAAGTTTTTTTAAAAAATGAATGACTTTTTATTATTTCAGAAGTTATTTGAGAATCCAGTCACGGAATTGGAGTTTTTGCTCTCGCTTGAAGCAAAAAGTTGTTTTAATTTTATCTTTCAAATCGTATTTAATTTAATTATTTGAAATTTCTCATAAAAACGTATGATTACCAAAATACTACACCTTAGTATAACCTTTAAGAAACACAATCAATTGGCCTGACTATTGTTTTATTCGCTTTGTTATATTAATACACCAAGTCTCTTTATCAAATACTTATCAATAAGTATTTTTTTATCATCATTTCTATTTAGCAAGCGCCACGTGTAGACTTTTAAGAAAAATTTTTTTTTTTAAATCGAGTATTAAACGTTTCAATTCAACTAATAGCTTGAAAGTCTTATAAGTGTCGTTAAAATACTCACAGCTTTAAGTATAAAGAATATTTTTGGAAAATTTCAATTTCGTTAATATGACATAAGTTTTCTGAAAAATATATAATTTACATGTTTTTACCTGGTTCTAACGAAAAAATTCACCAAATATCCATCGTACGATAATTGTTTTGATTTTTAAAGAATTTAGGGCCAGTTTTTCAATCCAGGATAAAATTTTATCCAATGATAAAATATATCTATATATTTCATGTATATAAATATACTGGCAATAATAATTTTATCCTGGATAAAATTTTATCTTGGATTGAAAAACTGGCCCTTAAAATTTTAGAAAAGTCCCACTTATCTTTTTAAGAGTTTTCACTCATAGATAATAAGTAATCTTAGAAGTTTGTTTGTAAGTCAAAAACCATACACAGATATTTATTTTGATATCTATAATTATACTGTAACTATTATACATCACAAATCATTCTAAAACACCTATCAGTAATTTTCCCTACCTGTATAATGTTTGTAATGGAATCATTCGTATGAAGTGAACATTTTTTATACTTTGATAGTTACATAAACAAGAAAAAAAAAACAGATTTTCAACGGAAATTAGTGCTACAAAAACCCTTACCTACCCTTATAATACGATATATAACGTATTTAACAAAGTAAGGTTCACATCTGCGTTGAAGATTCTCCTTTGAAATGCAATATAACGTATTGCTAAGAGCAGGTGCATGCAAAGAGTAGTGACTTGAAAGAAAAATACTTTTAATTCGTTAACGTAAAAACATCAATAGAAAATACAGCAAAAAAGTCATGATGTTATTTTTTAGATTAATTTTATTGCATGTTCTTGAATTATTTTATCAACTGGTGTAAGTATGTAAAAAAAAAATACTTGTCCCACAACATGAAAATTTGAAATATATCTATAATTGACTAGACAAGATTTAAAAAAAAACTTGTTTTAGTATACTAAACACTAGGATATTTTGTGGTAAGGGATGAAACGAAATGGATTAAAATCACCTGCACTGAAACCATATTTCACCGCTCATGTAACATTACATTGTTGATTGATATCTGTTGGCATTCTTCAACTGACAACATAGTTATTTAAAATTTACTTTGAATCAATGCTATTCTAGCAAGAAATTGAAAAGAAGTCAGTTTTCTTGCTGCATAAGAATTTGATGCAGGTGCAACTAGGCAACTTTTATAGTTCCTTTTTTCAGTATGCAACAGAGCTTAGTTATATTGCAATAACGATTTCTTTTCCATGTAAAATTTTTTCCAAGCCTGATAAAGTAATTTGAACTTGTCTTAGAGCTAAAATTACTTTTGTGGATGCTCGAGGATTTGGTTTGAGCTCAATTTCTTCTATAAGTTGGGCTCAGAGCTCACATATGTCTCTTTCAACCCAGGTAGTTTAGAATTGTTCTTTTTGGTGAAGACCTAAATAATATTTTATGGAGTTATGTATTTCTGTCATTAGCACGTGTTCGCAATAGCTGGGAGTTAATTGGGCACTTAAATTCAATTTGAGCTTAGTCTGACGATGTGATTTGCGGTGCATAAAAGAACTTCACAACACTTTTATATTTTATATATGTTATTTTTAATGCATATAGTGTAGAAAATCTACTGTGATTCAAGAGAAACAATCTTGATCCAAAAAACTTATTTTGTAGATAAGCGGTTATCGACGATCGTGCATCAATAAATTTCTTGATTTGAATCTCGTTATCTTGGCTTCAGAAACCAATGTATTTGATCAATAACTATTGTTATTTAATATAATAATTATTTAATAATTTATTTTTTTTTTGAATTTTATATTCGTGGTTAAAAACTAGTTTCTTAATTCAAAACTGCACAAAAATGTTCCAAAAAAGAAAACGACATTTTGACTTCAAAATATTCTGAAAAGTATTTGAAACTTTTCTTTGAAATAAAGAAAGTAGCAGAAGTCCGAGAATTTTTAGTTTTAACGGCATTCTTGAAACAAGTCGGTAGTATCTTGAACCAACGTTACCGCGTATCAATTCAAGAGAAAGAAATTTTTGCTAATCCAAGAGAGTTAATTTCCTAAATTAAAAAAACTGAATATCGTGAAATAAGAATTATATTTGATAGAAAAAATTGTTCTCGAATCAAGTAGTTTCATAAATCGGTGTAGCTATTAGTTTAATTCTTCAAGAATTATGAATTTTATTATAAACAAACTACTTAAAGTAATTACATATAAACGGAAAATTAAGCATGTTTACTAATAAGTTTTGACTGATTTTAGTTGGACATGCGTGAAATGAATGAAAGTATATTAATAGCTGTACGAATTTGAAGTAGAGGTCAAAGACCTGTAAAAACGTACCGCGAGACCGGATCAAAGACGACTAAGAATAAATTATGTGCCACGATTCCGGACCCATGCGAAATCCCATTCTATGTCATAAATATGTATAACGTCATTTTAGATGGATAAGAGAACACCTGTAACGAAAAAATTCTTTTGTTGTAATACATTTTTTAAAAATTTTTTTTCTTACCCTAATAGATTCTTTGATGATTATTGTAATAAACATAAAAATTTTTACAGCGAATTTGAAAAATATCCGATCTGATATAATTAAAAAATATTTGAAAAAGTTTTCATGATGTAAAAATAACTTTAAAACGATTTTAATTCCTTCACGGAAACAGGTTTCAAATCAATGCTCGAAGTTACTATCCTTTTTTATTGTTTTTTTTTTTAATTTTCTGTTTCAGTCTGTTTTATTCTTTTAATTATTATTCTTTTCTTCTCCATCGATCGATTATAATAATATATCCTATAAATAAGCCACAATTGATTATTATACTCAATGTGAAATTATTCACTTTGTATTATCGTAATTGAGAAACCGCTTAGTTATTTAACAGATGGAATTCGTGATGTTCACAGTTTAGTAAAATAATAGTTCCATAGAAACAAGTCCGTCTTTTTTTAATTAAAAGGGATTATATTTCTCAAATCCAAGAATCTTTAGAAATTCTTCATGTCCTTTCATCTGAAATATTGAAGTAGATAAATATTGAAATTTTTTTTAACGTCTCGCTATGAAAATCGATGATTTTCAAAAACTGGGAAGTTCTTTGGTTTCACCTCAATTTTCAAAAATCGAGTTCTATTGCAGTTTTCCAAAAAAATTCTTTACACATAAATTTTGATTGACAGTATCATACCATTTTTTAACTTCCCGCTAAGAAAATCTAAGATTTTCAAAAATCGGGAAGTTATTGGGTTTTACCCCGTTTTGCAAAAATCGAGTTTTCATCAGATCTCGACGTTTGAAGGTCACAGGAAGCTTCCCCGACTATCCCCGCGAGGGTGTCACTGTGTGTGTGTGTATGGTTTTTTTTTAGGGGGGGGGGGAATCCTTTTTACGGATTCTAGGCATAGCTGTTTGGCCTGGATATGTGGCGACTCGACTCAGCGTCATACTAAAACTCGACGCTAACGCCCCTATCCACTAAACCCTAAACCCCTTTCCTCTTTCCTC